ACCTTGAAATTCCAGGATATCCGGATCCGTTACACCCCTACTTATACAGTTCTAGTACCGTACTCCCCATGAAAATCTTACAAGTCCTACTTGACTTCCATCTTCCAATCACATGACAGAGAATCTAAGATGGAACCGGGTCGGGTCGAGACCTTAGTGGTCATTATGTCGGCCCATTTTGAACTTTAATTTTTAAAGTCCATTTAGTGGTTCTAACGAAACTCTAGACGCTTTTTGTTAAACTCTAGACGCTCTCCTAGTCGAGCCTTTTCCTCTGCGAATGCTCTGGTTTTGTCGCAGTGAAGATGACCGTTGGTCACCACCATTGACCGTTTTCTGCATTTTGTTTCTTTACACAAACTGCACCGTTTTGAGGATTTGTTGACTTTTTTGGCAAACACTTCACAGTTACAGAAGTTTTTGTCTCAGTTTGTGTGTAACCGCTGAGGCATTGATAATTTTATATTCCTTATTTCCGATGGTTGCATTATGGCAATTTAAGTGACATTGTCGGTACTATGGCAATTTATTTTGACATTTACAGTTGCACATTTACTTCGTAGATAAGGTCAGACTATTTTCCCTACACACTGATATCTTTTACATTTACTCAGTTAGACATTACATTTTTCAAAATACCAATATTATTTCACGTTTGGCAAGGATAAACTGCTTTTAAAGATCGAATGTCAAGAAGTCACACGCAAGGCAAGTAGTTATCCGAACCGTTTCTAACAAACTCGACATTCGTATACAACGAACCGAACCAGACCAAGCGGAAACAAACATCCACAATAACTCGCTTGCAAATTAAATTTTGAAAATTGACAACCAAACTAATTAAAATTCACCCGGTAAACAAATGATACCATACCATACAAACTTCACCCGGTATAGAAAAGAACCAATATTCTTAAACCGGATTCTACAAACTTCATGCAATTTGTAGTTATCTTCCAGTTTCACTCCACAAGCAACGGTGCCTAACTGCCTACCCATCACATTCAAATCCACGAATCAAACAAATCACAATCCTAGAACCACATTAAACTTGAAACCTAACAGGGTCACAAATACCTTAAATCAAACCCAGAATCAATGGCAAAAAAAACAGTACATATTTTGAAAATTAACTTAATGCATAGTCAGAATCAGAGAATCAGATTTACATATACCAACAAATAATAAACAAAGCCAGAAAAGAAAAAAGAACCAGTTTTAAAATCCAAAACAACCCATAAAACAAGAAAACCGGTAACGTGGTTCGAATTCCAATTAACCGGTGTAGATGTGGAGACGTACGGC